TGAAAGTGATACTCGGACCCATGCTCTCTTCCAACAGCAAAACTAGTTAATTTTTTTTTATTTTCATGTCGTAAACTGATCTGTGGCCCACATTTTTTAGTATTACTTATTCAGAGTTTAGTAGATCTACTCATCCAAAATAAAATCTTAGACTATTTAAATGATAGTCTTCCAGTTTGTGGGCTCACTAAACTTTTCCATATGACTGCAGTTGAAGCTCAATTATCTTAACAAAAGTCAGAAGCAAAGTTAAGCTTCTTCAGTGCATTTTCAGACTCAGCATTTCCTGGGTCAGAACCTACAACTACTTTACATAGTTCTCCTGTAGTAACTCAGATTTGTCTCTTTAGATGACCTAGTGAAGGGTGGGTTCGGGTCCATGGGTAGTTTGTTCCCCCAGTTTGTTCCGATTGTTTGTAAGTTTCTTCTCCTTGATCTTTACTTCCTGTACATGAACTGCAGAGTAGTTAGCCAGACTGTGGCAAAGAGTAGGGTGGAAAGTGAGGCCAAATTTAGCATAGTATTGCAGTTTGCACAGAGAAACTGAAAACTCTCACCATGAAAGCTGATGTGTAGCAGTGTGCAGAGAATAGATTTATCCTATGCAAATGATCCCCAAACCCAAGACTACTAACATTGCTTTTCTTTGTACAGTCCTCCACTGAGCCTCTACCCTTTTCACCAGCTCTAGCCCGCTTTATTTTATGGAAAGGTTTTCTTTCCTAATAAACTATAGCTACGTCTACCACTGTCTTTATGTCCCTGTTCCAGTTCCTCACTGGAAGAAATACCAATGGGTGCCCACTGAGCCCCAATATCTGCCTGTAATAAAACCACTGGTAATCTGTGATGCTTAAATTATTGTTTTAAAGTATATATAAAGGTCATTGCCAACAAAGTCACAATCCTAAATGTGTATGCATTGGTGATATCAAAAACTTCATGATGTTCAGCTGTAATTCTAAGTCCATTTTCTTAAAGTTTACAAATCAGGGCTGGTTCAGTAGGTGAAGACATTTGCTCCCAAGCTTGACAACCTGAGTTCAGTTCCCATTTTGGAAACTGTTGAAATAGGAGCGGCGGCAGGGCTGCGTCCCCGGCACCCGGCCGCCCGCATGGCTAGCTTATGCCCGAAATAATTACACGGAAACTGTATTCTTTCAAACACTGCCTGGCCCGGCTAGGTCCAGTTTCTTATTGGCTAGCTCTTACATATTGTTCTAACCCATTTCTAATATTCTGTGTAGCCCATGAGCTGGCTTACCAGAGAGGATCTTAACCTGCATCTGTCTGGAGTGGGAGCATCATGGCGACTCCTCCTCTAACCTTCTTTCTCCCAGAATTCTCTTCTGTATACTCCGCCTACCTAATTTTCTATCCAATAAAATGGGCCAAGGCAGTTTCTTTATTAGTAAGAAATCATTCCCACATCATTTCCCCTTTTTCCGTTTAAACAAAAAAGAAAGGCTTTAACTTTAGCATAGTAAAATTACATATAACAAAACAGTTATCAAGTAAGAATTACAGTTACAATATTTATATCTATTTTATCTCTTACCATAACTAAGGAAAACTATAACTATTCATTCTTCAACTCCATCAAAGACTCCAGAAGGATATAATATTACCTAAGTAAACAAGAAATAAGAAAACTCTAGAAATGACAGAGACATCTCGCTGCCTGGACAGTCACCCAAAGTTCTTTGGTACCGTTGGGGCATCCATCTTCGGCCTACAGGCCCATGGTATCCAGATACATTTCCATGAAGCAGGAAATTTCAAAGACAGTTCAGTCATTTTCTGCTGTGTCCTGCAGAATGTCTCGCAGACTCTTTCATGAATCAGGAACCCCGAAAGACCATCTCACCTTTAGGCAAGTTCAGCAGTCCTCTCTCTGAGGGTTCTCTGTGTCCAGTTTATGCAACAGTCCAGGCAAGAGCAGTTTCTTGCCCAAATGACTATCCAACTCCATAAGGATCCTCTTCGATGCCCATCTTCCTCTTGAAGTAGCTGGTGCTGCCAGGAGCAGACGTGTCTCCTTGTCATGAAAAGTCCTAAGTTATTAAAATATTTTAAATGCCATATTCTGCAGTCTTTGAAAGATATGAAGAATGCCTATCTAACTGAAATATATCTCTATATATCTAGAAAATCTAATTAACATGACTACAAGCTTAACTATTAGCGATGATTATCCATTAACAACCTATATTTCCTAATTATACATTACATTTTTAAATGAACTACACAATCACAATACCTTAATCAAGATCAAAAATACATATACATATAACAAAATTGACCTTAAAATCCATACCAATGCAAATTATTCATATCTATATCATATCCCCCTTTAAATGTAAAAGAACATTTATAAACAATATTTGGGAACATGGGCGTAGTTTTTTCTCTCCAAACTGCTTCCTGCTGAATAGGGGCGTCGTTAATTAGGTCGTTCATGATATAACCTGTGTGCTAGTTTCATCTCAGTTGGCAATTGAGCGAAGCAATTTTTTGAGGGTGTTCACAGCAACCTTTCAGGAGGGCGTGGTCTATCATACCAAATCGGAATAGATGCAATCCACAGGGTCTCATCCTCTGCAAAAACAAAAGAAGACCCTCTCCAAAGCATCATATCCTTAGACCCAAATTCTGAAATCATAATACCCTCATGAAATCCATTTTGGTTTAGCTTGGCAGCCCATATAATGAAATGTCTCTCTGTACTTAGCTCCTTCACAGTCAAAAATTTTAAAGAAAACACAATGTACATAATCCAGACTCTCTGTGAATTTTCCATTTTTACGTGGCTTATTTTTCTTTATTTCTCTTAATCTATAACTATCTGTACTTCTGTACTCTGTCTCTTTAAAGACTTTACCCTTTTTCTTTTTAAGACATTAACTTTTTTATATTCTTTTTCTTCTCTTTCCCAAGCCTACGTACATTCATCCAACAGTGTCTGAATCTGTTTTATTGTGAATCTGTAATTTTTTTACTATCCAGGAGCACTTTGTTTTGCGCCTTTAAATCACTAAGCGCTTAAGAATCTAAGCTGTGACATTCCTAGGTCAAAAACAGGTACTGTATGCTGGCCCCGCCCAGTCCAACATGGCGGAGCCGCTCGTGCCTCTGATCCTTGCACATTGCACCATTAGCATGGCGGAGCTGCTTGTGCCTCTGAGCTGCGGCACACAATGTCCCCCTTTTAGGCACACAGCAGTCTAGTTGCCATCAAACAAATCGTAGCACTTTAATCCAAATGCTCCATTCATAAGCTCTGTCTCCCGCCGGAGCCAGACAGAGATCACAATGGCGGCACAGCCCAGAAAGCCGGCATTTTAAAACAGCCAGTTTTTTCCTGCTGCCGAGTCAGGACAATTTCTTTGCGGCACGCAACCCAGAAACAGCAAAAAGCTGTCTTAAATTCTCTCTCTCTCCTTTTTAAGCCCTCTCAGGTTTTTAAGTGGATTTAGCCCATCACGTCTGGGCGCCATCTGTTGAAATAGGAGCGGCAGGGCTGCGTCCCCGGCACCCGGCCGCCCGCATGGCTAGCTTATGCCCGAAATAATTACACGGAAACTGTATTCTTTCAAACACTGCCTGGCCCGGCTAGGTCCAGTTTCTTATTGGCTAGCTCTTACATATTGTTCTAACCCATTTCTAATATTCTGTGTAGCCCATGAGCTGGCTTACCAGGGAGGATCTTAACCTGTGTCTGTCTGGAGCGGGAGAACCATGGCGACTCCTCTACTAAGCTTCCTTTTCCCAGAATTCTCTTCTGTCTACTCCGCCTACCTAATTTTCTGTCCTATGAGGGCCGAGGTAGTTTCTTTATTATTACAAGACCCACCTCCATCAGGAAACAAAGAAAGAATAATCTACACATCCCACAAAGGAACAAGACAAAAGTAGCTCAGCAAGACAATTCTTTTTGTAAAAAGGGTGCAGCAAGACTCAAACTGGACTTGCAAGCCACCAGGACAGGCATTCACTTGATTTTTGTTCTAACACAGGTCATAACTGTTTCTTTTCCCCATCAGCTGGGGTCCAATCTCACAGTCTTTTGCTGTTGCCTAGTTTTTAAAGAATCAGCATGAAGGAAGAGGTAGGGGTTAAGATTTGTATAAAAATCATACAAGCTATGGGGAAATTTGTGAAATATTGGTGCTTGGTGGGCAAATTACCTTTAAAAAAGTTTTTTTTAACACCCAAGATGCTACATGATGAAAGAGAGAACAGAGTTCTGCAAGTCATCCTTGCTTCCATGCATGCATAGGCTCACGTTTTATTTATTTTTGAGTCAGGGTCTTACTATGTAGCTCTTGCTAGCTTGGTCCTCACTAAGAAGACCAGGTTGGCCTTGAATTCACAGAGATCAGCTTGCCTCTACCCCTCAAGGGCTGGGATTATTAAAGCCATGTGTTACCTTTTCAGGCCTTTTTTACTTTTTAGTTGAAAAAAAAAATATAAAAAGGAGTTCCTACATATAGTTGTAGCTTAATTTTAAAAATAAAGTTAGTGACTATTTTGTTTAGTTGGTGCAATCTTGTCATGTATATGCTTTAACATGTAATTCTTCCTGCTGATAAGTACTGTGTGTCAGATCATGGGACTATCCGTTTCAGATACTGATAACGCTAAGAAGCCAGATCTCACAGGAGAAATCTTCAGCACACACACACATACACACATACACACGGGGCGGGGGCTGGGGGACAAGAGTGTGATTCCAGCAAAGAGGCTACGCTGTGCTGCAATTTTTACCCAACTTTAGGTTCTACCCAGTACCTGACTCCTCCACGCTCTTTGTTAAGTAAACAATGTTGAACTAAATCCCATGGTATAGAACTTCCTGTCACCTCCCCACTCCCAGCACCCCCCCCCCATGAATGATGTGAAAGTCAGATGTTTTCCTTTGTTCTCCAGATTTTTTTTTATAGAACTACAAAGAATTATTTCAAGTTTGGATCGGTACTCATGTTTTCTTTCTTTTGCAGGCAAGAAGCTCTTCTGGCTGCTATTAGTGAAAAGGATGCTAATATAGCTCTTCTAGAGCTTTCGTCCTCTAAGAAAAAGACCCAAGAAGAAGTGGCTGCACTGAAACGGGAAAAGGACCGCCTGGTGCAGCAGCTCAAACAACAGGTATTAATGGTGCCTGGGGCAGAAGAGGCAGCCAGAGTGGAGCCAATGTCCCACTGCCCTTTCAAAAATGTCTTTATTACTGTGTATTTCCTTGTGTTTCGTGCTAGACATCAAATACAGAAGATTTTTGTAGAGACTTTACAGGTCTTCTATCTCTTTAAAAAAAAATCATAGAATTCTCAGTGATTGGACTAAATTAGAAGATGTCACAGGTCCTGTTTTTTTTTTTTAACAAAATGTTACAAAAATTAGTGATCAATCTTTTATTTATACTCATACTTGATTACTTATAATGTTGAACATGTACCTTCTCTGTGTTTGCATCTTTTAGGGTTCCGTTTGCTTTCATCTTATTGAGAAAAGGTCTTGCTATGTAGCTCTGGCCAACCCAGTAGTCAGTTTTTAACCCAGGCTGGTCTTGAATTCATGACACTCCCCCTGCCTGAGCTTCCCCAGTGCTGGGATTATAAGTGTGTACCACCATGCCCAGCTGTGTCTACACAATTTTGTCAGCTTCTAACAAGAGGACTTAAGTAACAGTATGATTCTGTTTCACTGTTGGTAAAGTCAGAACGGATCATCTGCAATGTCAGTGGTTACTAAGAGCTGCACTTTCCTCCAGTCTCCATGACCCCGGTCAGTGCCGGCTTCAGCTCTATGACTTGTAAACCGACTCACAGACTTCTCAGCCCCCTCTCTCCAGGACCTCTCTTCCTTGGACCACACTCTTTTACTGTCAACAGATCCTCCTAGACTCTCACCTGAATTTATTTAGCAGCATTGACCAATTATTATTAAACACTTAGTGTGTATTAGGACTTGTGACTGCTGTTAATACAGCAGACATGACCCTGAAGACGTGCACTTATTACAAGATCATCCATCCATTTATTCAGCATTGTGGATATTTTGTCACACGAGGGTGCTCACGTATTTCCTTCCAGTTATACCAGAGAACTGAAGAATAACATTTTTTTTATTACTCATTTTTTTACACATCTTCACAGATGACTTTAGCAAATCTCATTTTAAGATCCTAGGAGTACACTGGGTGGTGGTGATGTGCACCTTTAATCCCAACACTTGAGAGGCAGAGGCAGGTGAATCTCTGTGAGTTCAAGGCCAACCTATAGAATGAGTCCTAGGACGTCTAACTCTGCTTTACACAGAGAAACCCTGTCTTGGAAAACCAAAAAAGAAAAAAGAAAAAAAAAGAAAAAATATCCTGGAAGAAGTTTGTCTTTGTTCATTATTGTGAACAACTGTCAAGTTCTAGAGTGTGAGTAGAACTATGGATTATGAGTTTAGGGTTAAAATTAACGGATTAGTGATATACAAACTAAGCAGGTTGTAAATAATGTATCTACTCATGGTAAAAAGACTTCAGTGAGTTGCAATATATTTATGCTTCATTTCCCTCAACTATAAAATGAATATTATGGAACTCTTCAGAGAGCCAAGATCTTCTTGAGAAGACTAGTTAGTGCCTCAGCGCAAAACTGCGGTGTATCGGTTTCTGAGTGTGTGCCCCAGAAGTGCCTGGGAGCTGGCTGACCATCGTGTCCTTGAGCCGTTCAATCTCTGTGCCCTGCTCAGTTGACTAGAGCCCATTCCTGGGCCCATTTATGTTTCTTTTTACTTTGAAGGCTGAGCATCACTTTTTTATTTCTGAAGTCTTAATCTAGGTGTCTGCTGAGACTATTTATACTCAAGGGACTAGCACGGGGTGGGGGTATTTTCTTAGTTTTCTGTTGTGTTATAGTTTAACTTTGACCCTTCAATTCCAATTTATTTCCCTGATCCCCAAGTTCTTACAGTAAGGGGTATTTGACTGTTTCTAAGTATTTCCATGCAGTTGGGGGAAATACCCATCAATGAAGTATTGTTTTTTAACTTAATTTGTTTGTATCTTTTGTTGGTCACGTGTGTCACAGTGTGCATATGGAGGCTAGAGGACAACTTGCAGAAGTCTGTTCCGGGGAGAACTTGGTTGCCAGGCTTCATAGCAAGTGTCTTCCCCTCCTGAGTCACATCACAGGCCCCAAGTGATACTCTAAGTAATTCTTTCATGTGCTGTGTCCGTTGTATAGTTGCCAGGTGTTTGTCTCTCTGGGAATTACTAGGAGACACGACACTTTATTGTCTCCCTTCACTCCTGTTTACTGCTTCACCATGTAAAGCTGATTGCTCTGACACCACCGATTTGGACCTTGAGATAGGCCTACACTTTGATTTGGTGCATCTTGGATTGTAGCAGACCTAGCCAAACATCCACTTATCTGAAAACCAACATTTGTACATACTTTCAAATGTCTCCTGAATCCTGCTGGTATGCTGGGTCCCACAATGACAGTTGCCAGTGCTCTGTCCATATTCCATTTATAAGCTGTCTGTCTCCAGTTGTCTATGCACTCTCTGACTCCTTCCCTAGAGACATTTTAGTCCCTACTCTTAGTCTTTCACTTTGTGCCTGCTCTCCTAGGCTGTGGGACTGGCCGTGGACCACCCGGAACATGTTTATTGCTCTCCTTTCCTCCGTCTCTCACCGCAGCTCGCTCTGTTGTCTGTGGTGCTTCCTGAGCCCATTGCAACCCTTTGTGACTGAGGCATGCAAGTGCAAAGTACTCACTTCCTCCAACTTCGCTTTTGGTGCCCACACTTTTATTACCTCCAGGAGAGGAAATACAGCGTGGGTATCAGTTCTTCCTTAACAGGGGCAGATCATTTTACTTGTAAATGTTTGTCTTTCTTTTCCTATCGTGAAGATTCTACTAACAGTTGTAAATCTCCTGCTAAACATGTAAATGGTGCCATTTATTTTTCTTTAACTTACTAGGTTTTATTTTTTATTTTTTTAAATATTTATTTATTTATTAAGCATACAATGTACTGCTGGCAAGGAAGGCACCAGGTCTCATCACAGATGGCTGTGAGCCACCATGTGGTTGCTGGGAATCGAACTCGGGACCTCTGGACGAGCAGCCAGTGCTCTTACCCTCTGAGCCATCTCTCCAGCCCCTAACTAGGTTTTAAAAAGAACTTTTGTTAATGTTATTTAGAGGTTTATCAGATTTTTTTTTTTAAACTCAGATTGGGTTTTTTTAATTCTTGGTCTTAGGCCTTGACCTACCCATTGGAGCAATTTTTTTGTTTTGTTGTTGTTGTTGTCATCATTTTTTATTTTTATTTTTTTGTACATCCTGACCACAGTTTCCCTTCTCTCCTCTCCTCCCAATTTCTCCTCCTCTCTTTTTCTTCATAAAATGGAAGATTTCCCATGGATATCAACCAGCCATGGTATATCAAGGGTATGTCAACTTTTTTAAAAACACTATCTTTCATTTATTCTTTGACAGTTTCCTACATGTATACAATTTAACTTGATCACATCTACTACGAGACTCCTCAGTACACCTTCCCACGCCTTCATATGCTCCACCCACACTGAGTCCAATTAGTGCTGCCTAGTGGAATGTTGGCTTTTGTATAGGTAAGCATCGCTGTACCTAGTTCATGAGTGCAGCAGCCACATCCTGTCTGGGAACTGGTGCTTCAGAGCAGTCCTCCTCATCTCTGGCTTTCACACTCTTTCTGCTGCATCTCCACAAGTTCCCCGAGCCTTTGTGGGCTTGATAGAAATGTCACCTTTAGGATGAGCACTGAATGGACATATAGTTCCAACATTTGACTGTTGCTCACTGTGGAAAGAGCCTTCTCTGGCCAAGGTTGGAAACAACTCTAGTCTAAGGCTGTAAATATAAATATTTAGAAGGCAATTTGACAACATTTCCATTCATCCAAACAATGATAGTAGGTTCCCCTAGGATCTTTGCCCTACTAAGCCATGGATTTTGGGCTAGGTTTTCAGTGTGGAACAACATACTAAATATGTAGATTCTTACCTATCAGATTGACTGTTCACGCTCTGTACTACATATAGAGATCTCTTCTAACTCAAGTAAAATTGTGTAAAGAAACACTAAAGATCTAATATGAACCAAACTTGATGAAAGTTACCATTTTTGATTTATTTTCTTTCTCTATAAAGAAAAAAAATGTTGGATAAAAAGTCTTTCTAGCCAGCCAAGAAAATAGAGCTAGTTACAGGTTTAAAGCCTTTCATTATGAATTAAATTTGGAATGGGAGTCTTTTGCCAATAAAAATAGTGGAGAATAAGCCTTTAAAGCTACATACATAATGTAGAATCCTGAGTTACCATCATTTTTCATGTTTAAGAAATGATGACAAGAAAAATCTTTTCCAGTATTTTTGATCCATGGTTTGTTTAACTAACAGACAAGGGGCTTTTGGATTTAAAGGGCTAGCTTTATTCAAAATTTAAAAATCAGCATGTATACAGATCATACAATTTTTTTCTCGTCATTATTCTCTATACGATACTAAACATTTATATTGACATTAAGTATATAGAAGAATACGCATAGATTATATGCGTCTACTATGTCATTTTATATAAAGGACCTGAATGTCCTCAGGCTTTGGTATCTATGGAGGAGGGAGTCTTGGAGATTAGAACCAGTTCTCCACTGATACCAAAGTATGATTTTCAATTCAAATATGGACTAAGGTACTATATTGTATGGTGTGTTGGTCTCGTTTTTCACTTTCAGTGTGTTATTTTAATACACATATATGTATACATGTATAAATAATTTTAGTTTCATTTTTACTTGTGCACCAAGAGTGGCCACATTTGCATATTCTCTTTTGTGTTCACTATGAATAAGGCAAAGAAACTGACAGCAGTGTCAGTGTTGGGACTGGTGATTCCCTAGCTGGGCATTCAGTTCCTTCATGTAAATTTCTGTACTTTGAACATGACTGAAGTTCTAGAGCAGGGTGAGAAATATCTCCATGTGTCCCTCACTCTCCCTGGAATCCTTTGGCAGCCTACTTCAAGTCTGTGTCTCACTAACATGGGTTTGCACCAATATTCTCCTTCTTGCCTGCTCACGCAGCTCTGCCTGCTGCCCAGTTCCAAAGTCACTCCTTTGGACTATCAGCCTGTTATCACATCCCCTGGTCCCAGTTACCACATCTATTAGTCATCTTCTATTCCATAAAAATCCTCTCTCCGTCACACAATAATTATTATTTCAGGAATTGAGGAATAGCTTAACCTATGGCTCCATTTAGAGCCTCTTGTAAGTTAGTAGTCAGACTGATGGCCATATCTACAGTCATCTATTGGCCATTCATCTCTTTATTAGGACTATCAGATGTTTAAGATGGGCAAAGAACCACAACTTCACAGAATGCAGAATAAACAAAAGTCACACACCTGAAAATAATATTCCCCAGTGAACAGGACAGTGCAGAAGGACAACTGCACAGTCTCGTGTCCCTTTTCTTTTTGTCAGAGCGCGATATTTTAACAGTGGTACATCTGGTGTCCCACAGGTCTCTCTGAAAGAGTGGTACATCTTTTAGTCTGGTAAACAGAGCCTGCAATAGCTTATAAGAAAAATCCTTTCCTTTTAAACATCAGGCTTATTTATATTTTTTTTTTTTTCTGTTTTATCCTCTTTCTTGGCTTACCTGCTTTTCTTTAGTTTCTGTAACACCTCTCATTCAGGCATTAGCGTGTAGTTATGTCTCTGTTAGGGTTTACTGTTGCTGTGAAGAGAGACCTTGACCACAGCAACTCTTTTTCTTCATTACCCTTTCTTCCTCTCCCCTTCTCTCCTATCCTCTCCCATGATCCTCATGGCCCCAATTTACTCAAGAGATCTTGTCTTTTTCTACTTCCCATGTACATTATTAGATTCATGTATATCTCTCTTAGTCTCTTAGGGTCCTCTTTGTTGTCTAGGTTTTGTTTTTGGTTTTTTGGGTTTTGGTTTGTTTTTTTTTTTGGCTTTATGTCTAAAAGCCACTTATGAGTGAGCACATGTGATATTTGTCTTTGTGGGTCTGGGTTACCTCACTCAGTATGATGTTTTCTAGATCCATCCACTTGCCTGCAAATTTCAAAATGTCATTTTTTTTCCTGCTGTGTAGTACTCCATTCACATTCTTCAGTCGAGGGCATTTAGGTTGTTTCCAGGTTCTGGCTATGACAAACAAAGCTTCTATGAACACGGCTGAGCTCATGTCCTTGTGGTACAATTGAGCATCCTTTGGGTATATACCCAAAAGTGGCATTGCTGGATCTTGATGAAGGTTGTTTCCTAATATTCTGATAAATTGCCACACTGAAATCCAAAGCGACTGTACCAGTTTGCATTCCCACCAGCAATGCAGAAGTGTTCCCTTTTCCCCACATCCTCTCCAGCAGAAGTTGTCATCAGTGTTTTTGATCCTGGCCATTCTTACAGGTATAAAATGTAATCTCAAAGTTGTTTTGATTTGCATTTCTCTGATGACTGAGGATGTTGAGCATTTCTTTAAGTGTCTTTAAGCCATTTTAGATTCCTCTGTTAAGAGTTCTCTGTTTAGGTCTGTACCCCATTTTTATTAGATTATTTGTTCTTTTGATGACCAATTTCTTGAGTTCTTTGTATATTTTGGAGATCAGCCCTCTGTCCGACGTGGGGTTAGTGAAGATCTTTTCCCATTCTGTAGGCTGTCATTTTGTCTTGTTGACCATGTCCTTTGCTTTAGAGAAGCTTTTCAGTTTCAGGAGGTCCCATTTATTAATTGTTTCTCTCAGTGTCTCTGCTACTGGGGTTATATTTAGGAAACGGTCTTCTGTGCCAATGTATTTAAGTTTGACCCTAAAGTTCTTGCCCCAAGGCTTCATTAGGTATTTCTGTAAATATTTGGGGGGGAAGATAATGAAAATGCTCTTAATTCACCAAGAAATGTGTTAAGAGATAAACAGTCCAATTTTGACAAAGCCAGATGAGTAGGAAAATGAGACAGTGTCTCCTGCCAGAGATGAAATTCCCTGTGCAATAGAATGGTGTTTCAAATACCGTACATATAGAAAAAGGCACCAAACAAGGGTAAATCAGAAGTGTTCCCTTTTATGTGTTCACTACTAGGAGGAGGCTGAGTGGATATACTTAGTTATTAGTTACTGTCTGTTGCTGTGTAAAGACCACAGCCCCAAACCAGTTATGGAAGAAGTTTAATTTGGCTTACATTCCAGAGGGATGAGAGCCCATTATGGCAGGGAAGCAGGGCAGCAAGCGGCAGGAATGGCAGCAGGAGCAGGAAGCTGAGAGACCACATCTTTACCTTAGACACAAAGCAGACAGAATTAACTGAAAGTAGACAATGCTATGTACTCTCAAAGTCCACGCCCAGTGACATCCTTCCCCCAGCAAGGCTGTACCTCTTTTTTTTTTAAATATTTATTTATTTATTATGTATACAATATTATGTCTGTGTGTATGTCTGCAGGCCAGAAGAGGGCACCAGACCCCATTCCAGATGGTTGTGAGCCACCATGTGGTTGCTGGGAATTGAACTCAGGACCTTTGGAAGAGCAGGCAATGCTCTTAACCTCTGAGCCATCTCTCCAGCCCAAGCCTGTACCTCTTAAACCTCCCCAAAACAGCGCCTCCAGCTGAGCCTAAGGCAGAACAGCTCCTTAAACCACAACACTTAGATATTAATAGAGATTATTGCTCATTAGAGGAATCATGGGCAATCTTTCTTTAACGTTATTCTTTAGATTGTGTTCATAGTCAATATTTAAAAACCATACAATATGAGCAAGACTTTCGTGCTTTAAAGCCTTATTTGAACACTATTTTTTTATTAGTGTAGCATGCATTACTTACTTTTGTGTATTCTGGCTCACAAAGTGACTTTCGAAGATCTTAGGGTAGCACTCATTTACCCAGGTGCTCAGTCACCACTTCTTTTTAGCAAAGATGGAGGATTGGAAAGGATTTTAGAACAGTATTTGATTATTTTCAAACCTAAATTACTTATTGATGGCTGTTAAATTCTATACGTGTAACTTCTCTCCTTGTCACCTGCTTTTTAATTCTCTTAGATTTTTCTAGGTGATCGTATTATTTCATTTTAAGTAATAACTTCTTCCCAGATATTTATGATCTTAATATTTATATAAAATCTACCCAAAACTGAATAGCTGTTTATAAAGATGATAAGTCAGTTATTAGATACATGAAAATGAGTCCTACCTAAATATAACTAAAAAAAATCAAAGTTGCAGAATACCATGTGTAGTACAATCTAGTCTTATTTAGCAATATTAAAAAGTACTGTATAAAGTGCTTGCTTTGATTGAGGCTTGTCTTCCCTGCACAGTTACCTACCTATCTTAGCTCAAACGACCATAACAAATACCATAGAACGGGTGACCAAAACAGTGTTTGTCTGTGTCTCATGAATAATAAAAACCCAGAGCCAGATATTGGGGTTCAAACTGAAGATGAGAAAAGTAAAGCATCTAGCCACTAGACAGACCTTTTAACAAATCTTCAGACCAAAAGGGTGGGATCCTGTCTCCACGAATCCTCAGACTCCACACCCACTGAGTTCCTGTCTCTTCTCCTTCATATTCCTCTCTCTGTCTAGCCACATCACTCCTGTCTCCATCTCCCTAGTGCTGGGATTAAAGGTGTGAACCACCACCACTTGGACCTGTTTCTGGACAGGTCAAGAGTAGCCCAGGGTAGCCTTGAACTCACAGAGATTCTTCTGCCTCTGTCTCCTGAGTCACGGGATTAAAGGTGTGTGCCACCACTCCCTGGCCTTTAGTGGCTTAGCTTTACCTCATGCAAGCTTTATTTATTAAGATACAAATAAAATAATCCCTGTTTGTTCAAGGTCTAGAGGTATGAGGGTCCAGTATCTCTGCTGACTCCTGATGAGCCCTCTCTTCCTTACCTACAGAGACTTCTTCTCTGTGTTCTCCTAGAGGAGATGGGTGACTCATTTGTGCTTGGAACACAGCCTTAATCACAAGCAAAATTAGGAGTCCACCCTTTGACTTCCCTGAGTCCTTGTCTCTAGATGAGGTGACATTGGGGTTAGGGCTTCAGTACGGATAGCTTTGACTAAACCCTTGGCAGTATCCTCTCAGAGTCCGTGTTTAATTGATTTCATTGTGGACAGGACTAGCTGCATGCTCATGGAAGTCTTTAAGGTACTTGTTGCCCTACCGTTCATTATAGAGATTTTATCTCAATTTAAACTATGAATTTCTTTTTAGACACAAAATCGGATGAAACTAATGGCTGACAACTATGAGGATGACCACTTCAAAGCCTCCCGTTCCAATCAGACGAACCATAAACCCTCCCCAGACCAGGTAAGACTGTGCTGGAATATCTCTTTTTTTTTTAAAACAGTATGCTCTCATATTCATAAATTTAGTGGTAGCACATTGCAAATTCTAGGTTATAGATTTAGAAGAAGAATCTCAGGTTTTTCTCAAATAATTCCTGTATAAAAAATTGATGGTTCTGAATATGTTATGAACATATGCTTCAATTGTTTATAAAGACTTTATTAAATAATTACATTGAAATGAGAAAAACATGAGTCCTACTTTTCTCATTGAAGAATTGATTCCTTGTTAAGGAACAAGACTTTTCACAAGCTCAGCAAGGCACAGCTCAGGATAAAAATTATTTCTTGTCGAATTACAAAGTATATGGCCTGCCCATCTTCTGTGGAAGGTACAGCTGAAGACAGGGATGTGCCTAAGTGATCAGTAGTTTGCCTAGCATGTGCAAGGCCCTAAATTGAATTTTCAGTACCGCAAAAAATTAAAAGTGATAGGTGAAACTTAATTTGAAACTTAATTTCTTCCCTTTGATTTTTGGTGGACCCCTTCAGCATGACACTCTCAAGGGATATTGTTGCCTTCAGCTTGCTACCAATACAAAACAGACATTGATGAAACTGAAAATTGCAACAATTTTTAAAGAAGGTGAAACCTTCCCAAGATCTCAAGTGTGATGAACAGGGAAGAGCATTGAGCACATTACCTCATATCTCTGTGCTCAAAATCAGTTCCAGCATCTCTGTCACACCCAGCCTTAAAATGTATAAAAAATAAAGCGAAGGGGAAAAACAATAGCCAAGTCATTACATCCATATGACTGCAAAGTCATGGAAAACTCCCCTGATAAACATCTCCACCAAGTGACAGCTCTAGATTTTCTTAGAGTTGTCATAGAATTCGTGTAGATGAAAGTAGCAGCTGATATCCAAATTGTTATTCTTTCCAAGACTCAGAAGGAATGGTTCTATACGATGACCAAGTCAGCTGAGACACAGCTAAGACTTTAGAGGGAAAACAGAATCAACCTCATGTAAAATAGAGAGCTGTGTTCTTGGTGTCCCCCTACCTAGAAACCACTGTCTGTTCTGCCTGCTTCCTGCTCCTGGAATTCAGACTGCCTGGCCTCTGCATGAAGCATGTCAGATATTTCCCATGGAAAAGGTTTAGATATGAGGTGGAGGTTATTGGCGTGGGGAGGCAAACAGACCTTACCTCTGACCTGATGAATTTTGCACGTCCATCTCTGGGAAAGGTAGAAGAGTAACCATGGAACCATAAACTAATTACTAATTTGTAGTTGGGACTAGAATCTAATGTTTAAAAAAAAAAGCCAAGAACTTCTTTTCTGCTGCATTATGTTTATGCCTTTGTTTTAATACTAACCAACTCTTTTTCATCCCCATGCTGCCCTGGGGCATTGTTCCCATGTCATCTCTCCCCGTAGGATGAGGAGGAGGGTATATGGGCATAGCCAATCAGATGCTCTTAGTTCAGCCATTTTGTTCAGAACGGTGAGAAACAGCTTTTCTTAACTACGGCAATGATTTTGTTTGCATTTTTCTTTCTCCATCATCACCTTCACATCTCGCTCTGTACAGTCATGAACTTCCTGTGTGCTTTCTGCTCCTTCATTTTCACATGACTCTTGTGTGGATTGCTGTGCTTTTGACATAGTGGGGTGTGGATTTGTGGCTTTATTTCTTTCTCTGTGTTAATAGTCACATTTATAATTTCTTTCTATACATTTTGGACAGAACTTCCAGGGCATGTAACTAAATTTCTCCAGTTAGTGATATTTATTGCTAGATCACCCTCTCTCCAGTGATCTCACGGTGTCCTGGCTATTAACGTATCGCACACTGACGTGGAGGGCAGACAGTGTGCTGCGAGCTATGCTGTGCCTCCTCGTGGTCCTCTCTGCCTATGGGAGACACTGGGTTCTGAGGGTCGGCTCCTGGGCTATCCCTAGGGCTTTGACATTACTCTTACAATATCAATAAAGAAAAGGAGGCACAAAGGAATAAAAGAGGGGTTTTTGTTTTGTTTTTTAGCAAAAAAAAATTATTTAAATTCCTTTTCATAGATTGCTGCTGTGTTCAGCAGCTGCCAGGACACTATCTAGATTCTCCTAAAAGGCCAGTTGCCTGGAAACCATAGTCCAGTTGTGTCAGTGTCTTCCTTTGCTCTGATGCCCTTGAGGTTTGACTCAGGAAATCAGTTTCTAGGAAATGATCAGTGTGATTACTAAGCTCACATCCTCGTGGCCTTGCATCCGCTGGACACACTGCCCATGCTGATGTGGAGTCAGTTCTCCCTGAAATGTCTGTCTTTATGTTAAACTGCTAAAAACTGTAACTTTGTCAACCTCTGAATATTGAACACAGCCGAGAAGGATAAGAGGTAAGTTGTTGAACTGCCAGCTTTCAGTGTGACTTTTAGCAGCAGTGTGAAATGATCAGTATCAACCAGAAAGTGTGTTGCAAGTCAGAGAAAGCTAAAAATGAAAGGAAATCTATGTTCTGACTGTCTGCGCGCCGCAGGGGCATGCATTTGTCACCACGAGGCATGTAGGAGCCACATGATAGCTGTAGTTTCGCAGTCACTTGTAAGTGAATATGATTCTACTTTATATGAACAGAGCTGTCCTACTTGCAGGCCTTATTCTAGTCAATGATAATAAATACATTATTTTGGGAAACAAGGTTACTAGGTAATTTCAACAGGAGATTGAAAAATAAACAAGCCATCTCATGTCCCGGGCCCAGAGTCTGTATTTCTATGTCTGCTGCTTTGTTGGAGCGGCTTCTGTAATGCGCTTCTTCTGTTCTTGCACTTACCCCTTCCCAGCTGTGCTCATAGGGGCCGACTGCACCTGCTTCTGCCGGCAGCTGCACAGCACCTTTGCGGCTATCTGGCCAGACCTGTCGTTTTTACAGAACCAGACCTCATACTCTCTGAACACAGCCCCAAACTGTATGTGGTGAAACATTTTACCTAAGAAAATACAAGGGCTGGGGTTGTGATGGATTTCTGTAAAGCCAGAGCTTGGAAAGCTGAGGCAGAAAGATTCTACGTTCTGGGTCATCTTGGGCTATACAGCAAGACAGTGTCTTAAAAACACAGTCAAGATTTGCACGAGTGATCCATAAAGCACTACACAAGTCTTGGCTTTTTTCTCTCCTGCACTTATTTCTTTGCTGTTTCTACAGAGAATAGATTTTTCTCAACAAAATTTTGAATTTGAAATTGATACTTCCTTACCAACTTAGGAACTTAAAGTTTTGTCTAAAACATTTTCTAAGACACCACTCACTGGCAAAGCTTGAGCCTAAAGTAGACACCATCTGTGATCAGAACTGAAAGGTCAGAATTGGGCCAGATTGGGGGCTGCAGAGTCTAAGGGTTCCGAGTATAGGCTTTGAACAGAGTCTGTTCAGTACTTACAGTAGCACCTGCTGCTGGGTGTGACCTCTCTACCCTGACTTGCCCTGTAAGAGACAGTGATGGTAAGAAGTAGAGAGATGGTGTGAGACATGGAACCAGACTGCAAGGTCTGGCATCTAGACCTTAACTCTGTTGCCTAGGGAGAGTGGGGTCACCTCTGCAGTGGTTTCTTTACCTAGTGCATGAGTTTCTCAGTGTTTGTTTCTGTTTGTTAATGTGTTAATGTACAGTACCATCAGCAGTTTCTTACGTCCCCAAGCACTGTACTTTGTGGATGTGTTACTATTTCACTACTGTTAATTTAGATCTCACACATCATTAATTTAGATCTTACTCTGAGAATAAGTTTTCAGTGACTATTAGTTATTCTTGTTGGGAATATCATCATCAAAGTATATTGTCTTCATTTCAGAGCTGAGACTATGTGGCTGGGAAATTTAGAAGTTGTAACTCAAGGGCCCCAGGCATTTCTGTGTTCTACGATGAGTAACTAGAAACTGTTCTTAAGTGGTAACCAAGACAAATTTCATTACCGAAAGTTTGATGTCATGTATGTTGAGGAGGAATATTTTCCTTTAGGAAAACATCTCATAGGCTGGCAAGATTGCTCAGTTGGTGAAGATACTTGCTAAGCAAGCGTGGCAACCAGAATTCTATCTCCCTAAGCACACATATGGCAGAGGAAGAAAACCAGCTTCTCAGAGTCGTCTGCTGACTCCACATGTGTTCCATGGTATACACAGCAATAGTAATAATTAAAAGAAGACACTTTTAAGTTTTGTTAAGAGATTTCCAATAACATATTCTTTATCAGTGATGTTTTCTTTAAAAGAATACGTTCAGTCAGTATCAGTGACACGTTTGCCTATCAGAGGACATCAAACAATAGGACATCTGGCCACCTTAGCCACCCTAGTGGAAAGTACCAGAACGAAGATGTACTGGCTAGTTTTGTGTCAACTGGACACAAGCTAGAGAGGAGAGAGCTTCAATTGAGAAAAGGCCTCCATAAGATTTAGTTGTAGGGCATTTTCTTAATTAGTGGTTTATGGGGGAGAGACCAGCCCATTGTAGGTGGCACCACCCCTGGGCTGGTGGATCTGGGTTCTATAAGAAAGCAGACTGAGCAAGCTATGGGAAGCAAGCCAGTAAGCAGCCCCCTCTATGGCCTCTGGATCAGCCCTTGCCTCTGGTTTCCTGTTTGAGTTCCTGTCCTGAGTTCTTAGAGTGATGAACACCAATATGGAAGTGTAAGCCAAATAAACCCTTTTTTCCCCCAACTTGATTGTGGTCATGGTGTTTCATCACAGCCACAGAAACCCTAACTAAGATAAAAGGTTTCTTGTCTGAATTAGCTTGTTCATGTTGCTCTCTGTCCCTTCACTCTGTCTTTTCTTCTTCCTTGACAATAGAATATCGGGCCAATGAATGCACTGATATTAATATGATTACATTTCCATTCCTGTTATCTAGAACAATGCCTGTGTATAATACAGTTTAATAGATATATACGCACAAATTAAAATACATGTGATTATAAAATAGAAAATATACATAATATATATAAACCACCTTCT